CAATGTGTTTACTAAATGTTCCAGAGATTATTATAAAGACGTTTTCATTAGAATGTCTAAATACGTTTGCCCATACTAGTAGAAGAGTTGACAGTCTTGACTACATGTTACGATTGTACGAAGACAATCGCTTTTGTCTTCTTCATTAATACTAGTATACAATCAGGAAAAACAAGAATATTCAATACAATACGAGTATTTGCGTATTGACATTTTGTAAATAATTAGAAGCTTGTTTGGTCTTTTCTATACTGCTGAAATCATCAGCTACTATTGACTTTTTCTGTATATAATTTGTTGAATGGATAGTCAATTTTAAATAAAAAGAACATTGAGCGTTTTTCTGAATGACCTGCATCAAGCAAAAACGAAGAATGTTAAATTTAGTACTTTTTCTTTTTTTGTTGTTATTCAAAAATTAGAAAAATTCCATTTATAAGAAACAAACAATAAAGTAAAGCAAAAATTATTGTTCGTGCTATTGCATAAATGCACTTCATAAATAACTTTGTCAGATATTCTGTTTTTGTTTGGTCTTCTATATGAATGATAAATTACAATAAGGGAACCTCCTCTCTAGACGTCAAATTATTTTTTGACCGACACAATGTTCATGTAATACATAATAGAAAAGTCGAGGTTAATTTAGTTTTCCTAGTCTTCGTTCTTGAGATATTGAAATTTTACAGAGTTTTTCAACTAAAAGCTGTGGTTCTCCCCAGGTCACATAAAAAAATCGACTTCAAACTTTACATGAACAAAGTTGTTAATGAGATTAGTTCATTGGACAAGTTGTAACTTTTCTAGTATCTCCTATCCTGAGCTATTCGAAATTTTCTCATATGTAAAAGCAAATTTTGATCATATGTTCTCATCTTCAGAAAAGAAATACTAGTTACACAATCAACTAATCTCATTAAGAACTTTGCTCGTGCAAAGTTTGGAGTCGAAAGTTGATTTTCCATGTGACGACATCTTTTTGTTGAAAAATCCAATAAAACCTTGATATTTCAAGAACGAAGGCTCGGAAAACAAACCATTTTAGACTTTTCTACGACTCACTAGTATTCATCAACTAAACATTGTCTTAGTCAAATAGTAATTTGACATCTGGAGACGTTCCCTCGTCGGCAACAATAGTCTAATGACGGAACATATCCAAGTGTGCTATTGGTGTATCCCTACTGATATATTACATTTTTACGGTATTTTTAGCGCAATGCCATGTTCTCCCTCAGGAACATCAAGAAAACTGAGTTTCGAATTTCGACTTGAAATTTTACACTACAGTAAAAGCACGTTTTTAACTTCGTTCATATATACGGGTAGATCCCGATGTTCTTATTTTAGGATAGAAGCAATCAAAAAAAAAACTCTGAAACTTTCACAATAAACTATTCTCGTTAAAGCCTATCTCTGTGCAACGTTTCAAGGTGAAATTCGAAACTCAGTTTTCTTCGTGTTCCTGAGAAGAATCCTGACAGCGATAAACCAATAGTCCGAATGTTTTTCAGGGTATTCATAGCTTATTAGGATCCACATGATGCGATTAATCAGTTGGAAGACTTCTCTCGTTAGCCAAGATATTGACTCTTTGTTTTTTGCGAAATTTAAATCCATAATGTGATTAACACATAAATATCAGTCGACGTAATATTTCTTTTTTTTTTTAAATTTGAGATTCCGATCTATGTAATAAAAACCAAGAATGCGCTTCCTATCACCTTCTGCTTCAGTACAATTGAATCTAATATTTCTTATTTTATTCTTATTTATTAATTAATTCAGCGAATTAGTAATGACAATGAACTTACAATTACACACATGTATACGAAAAAGAAAAAAATTGAGAAAAAACGGAGCAAAACAAGAAAAATTTCTACAGAACATATGGTAATTCTTTAAGAAGTCGTTGATTTTCAATACAACTTTTAATCCATTCATAACTAACTAAATGAAATTTAGCAGTACGATCACGATTAATTTTTTTAAATACATCTATACGTTCATTTAATTTTTTATCATCAATATTTGGTTTAGCACAAATAACATGTGTAACATCCGATGTTATTTTATGTGCTATACGTGCACCATGCAATTGACTTTCTAATATAATTAAACTATGATTTGAATCAATAAATAATGTTGATTCATCACCAATTGTCCAATATTGATCAAAATAAATATAAAATAAACGAAAAAGACCATATTCATATGATTCATCAGGAAAATAAACATTTTCGAATTCAGATATATATGAACGAAGTTTATCATTATCATCTAATGGATTTGATATTGTATCAATATTGATTGTTGATTGTGATAATGGAATTGGTTCATTAAGACGACGTTTTTTATTTGCTGGTAATTTTTTACTTGATGTTGATGGTGGTGATGATGGAGTTGATGTCGTTGATGTTGTTGTTGATGATGATGTCATTTTATTAAATATTTCACGAAGTTCATTTTCATTTGTTGATGTATAATATGCATCACCATATTCATCATAAAGTAAATTAAGAGCTTGACGAGTTTTATCTGTGCATGATATTAAATCCGATAAATAATATGGTAATAAAGTTTTCTGTTCAATACAACGTATTAACCATGTTATATGTACGATATCATATTGTTTACTTTTAATTAATGTACGAAGACGAATACTAGTGGGATTATCTGAACAAAGAAAAAAAAGAAATTTTATGAATTATTTCTATTTTAAAATAAAAAGATTTAATAATATTGTTTTTTTTTTATTTATGTCTTAAAAAATCTTATATGAAAAGAAGAATTGATGGTAATAGATGATGATTAAATGATTAAGAAACCTTTGTCTAATATTTTATTTAAGTTTTCTATGTATGAAAGATTTTGAGAAAGAATCAATCTCATGTACTTATGAAAAATTGACTTATACTAAATTGCTTTAGAGTTCAACATTCATTATTAATTATCTTTCACAAGTTTTATTTTTGTAAATTTTATAAAGAATTTAAGAGATTATTACAGATGACATTTTTAGTTTAGCTTACTGAGCTATGCTTGATAAAGTTACGTTTGTTTCATTGAATTTGAAATGACTAAACATTTTACTCAAGTCTATTCAAGCAGATTAATACTTCAATATTTTCAGTTCATTATAAGAACTGATTATCAAATCACTTTTTCGGTTGAAACTATTACTATTCGATTGGTTATGATGAGTAGTGAAAAAGGTCTGTTTTTCTGGTATTCGCTTGTCTAAATAAGGGCATTTTACTCGGTTGTTTTAGCCTACGAGCATAAGATCGTTGAGAACCTGAATGATCGAGTTCTGAGCTGAAATTTTATTCATTGACTAACCATATAGTCATTAGAAATTCTTCAAAGTTTGAGCTGGGACAAGCACATTTTTATCGAGATATCATCCTGTAATGAAAATATCCTTCTTTTAAAATACAGCATCAAACAGACATCTCTTTAAAATGTAGATCTGTTGACGAGGATGTGTTCCCTGTGCGTTAAACTTCGGAAAGTTTCCTAGTAACTCTAAGGTTCGTCTTTGAACAACGTTCTCAGCGATCCTATGCTCATAAGTCAACAGTCGAAGACCAAAAAAACATATCAATCAACACACAATTCAAGAGAGATGACCCAAAAAACTACTAGGTGTCAACTGAATAAATCAAAAAAACAACAAATATTAAACAATCTTTAGATTCTATACAAATAAAATCTGGAAAAGTTTTCTCTAGACGGAGGCCAAGACCGAGCCCAAAAGAAAACATGATCTCGAAAATTTTTAATTATCTCAATCCGTCCATGAAGATTGTTTTGAAATATTTTCCAAAAGTTCGGACTATAGCTGAATTTATTAACATTTTAATTTTATTTTTACCTGTAACAACACAGTAAGTTTTTGCTAATGCATTTTGAACACAAGTTCCACCATTTTCATAAACAAGTTTTTCAAGTTCAGCTTTTGTATATTTTGCATTACCTTCCATAATACAAAATTCCAATGTTGAAAAAAAATGTCCAGTTTGTTTAACAGATTGTTGATCAATACCACGAAAACGTGAATCAACAGTTGGTTTAGCTTGTTGTCGAGATTTATTTTGTAATTTTTTTGTTAATGTTATTGTACGTTGTCCATCATCGTTTATATCAAAATCTT